GTCATCACAAGATGGCCACCACAAGATGGCTGGCAGGGGAGGGCAGTTGGGGGCCATCAGGCCCAGCAGGGGAGGGCAGTTGGGGGCCATCAGGCTTGGCAGGGGGAGTAGTTAAGGGTTGACCAGGCTGGCAGGAAGAAAGCAGTTTAGGGGCAATCAGGCAGGCAGACAGGCAGGAGAAGCGGTTAGGAGCCAGCAGTTCCCAGATTTGTGAGAGGAATGTCAGACTGTTGGTTTAGGCCTGATCCCCTGGAGGGGTCCTAGATTGGAGAGGGGGCACACCGGGCAGAGGGATATCCCCCCATGCATGAATTTCGTGCCACTGGGTCTCTAGTATCCCTATAAAATAGAAAGAATCAAGGCATTATGATGACATTTAGTGACTTTTGAGGTTCTGCTATACAATTTTTGCACTTGGGGAGCTTTATTATTTTTATATTTGAGCAGAATGAAATGTTTTGCTCTTGGGATCAGACCTTTAAAATGGCTCTTAGAGTGATAGTTGTAATATGGGAATTGGACACATTGTGATGTTTTCTGGTCATTGACTTAACTGTTTAGTTACATATTTTGAAAACTAAAGAGAAAAGTACAAAAAGTGAAAATACAAACTTGTCAGTACTAAGACTTAATGATGTGACTTTTTTTTCCTCTTACTTGAAAACATTTTCTCTACAGGAATGCAAGCCAAAAATGTGGAGAAGCATAATAATACAGAAAGGAAATGCTCTTCTAATCCAGGAAGTTCAAGAAGAAGATGGAGGAAATTACACTTGTGAACTTAAATATGAAGGAAAACTTGTAAGACGAACAACTGAATTGAAAGTTACAGGTAGGAATTGGTTCTTCAAAATTATGGCAAGTGAGAATTAAATATAATTTGTTATGGGGAGAAATTGGAATTTTCTACAAAAAGCTAACTTGCTGTGAACTTAGAATTGGCTGTGAATCATATAGTTGAGAAACTCACTATTAAAAAGTTTTACTGATAACTTATATGCAGGATATGAACACTTAATCTAGGGAACAAAGGCCCAATTGCTGTTTATCTATTATCTGCCTTTAGGACAGACTAGAGGCATGGTGCACGAATTTGTGCACGGGTGAGTTCCCTCAGCCTGGCTGGCGATCTGGGCCAATTGTGGCCACCTTGCCCAGTTCCGATCAGGGCCGATTGGGGTCAGCCAGCCAGGGGAAAGGACCGCAGGAGGTTGTCCAACCACAGGAGGTTGGCTGTGGGAGCACACTGACCAACAGGGGGCAGCTCCTGCGTTGGGTGTCTGCCCCCTGGTGGTCAGTGCACATCATACTGACCTGTCAATGGGTCGTTTGGTCAACTGGTCATAACGGTCGCTAAGGCTTTTATATATTAGAATCTTAACTCTTCAAAATATCGTTGATTGTTACTAAACACCTCAGAAAAGATATACTGTAACCACTCTAGAATGCTGACTTAACCCATATGTAAAATTGCCTTGTGGAAAGGCTACCTCAGAATGAGGTTCTGGTGGACTTTTGGAATGAAATCTTAGACTATATCTCAAATAAAGCTCATACAAATTTGCTTATAAATGAGTGATGTTATTGTGAGATTGTTAAATGAAGCAATTCCAAAATAATGGCATACATGCATATGTTTTAAATCAGAAGTAAAATTGAAGTGTAGACTAGCAATTCTACACATAGGAGTGGAAGAGAGAAACTCTGGATATTTTTACCTGGTGAAGAATATTAGAAAGTAATTTTCAAACACATAGGACTGAACTTGATACCATGAATGTTATCCCTGACAAAGAATTTGATGAATCCTAAGACAGTGTATGACAAAAAGTCCACCTGCTGTTTTACTCAAACAATCTTGATTAATTTCCTCTTATATATTTTAGAAGTGTGTGTGTGTGTGTGTGTGTGTGTGTGTGTGTGTGTGTGTGTGTCTGCCTTGAGTTTTATGTTTTGATTGTCCCTGTTCTGAGCTATTCTTCCTTCCCCCATGGAGATGGTCTCTGTGGGGGGTATCCTGGTCTTGGCTGGAATGGTTTGATCAGACTCATGTTGGGGTTGGTGCCAGTAGCTTGTAGGAAGGCGAGGGTAGACCCTTTCTCTCCTTCTAATGCCTCAGCTCTGCCTGGTTTGCTGGCACCTCCTCTCTACCACCCGTAGGGGCACACATTTCCTGCTTTCGGCTGATCCTCCTTGCCTCAGGTTGCTGCAGGTCGGGTCAGAAGCAACTGTCTTGCTGGTGGGAAAGAGGACACCTCCCCTGAGTTCTAAGGTGGGCAGGGCTGATCCTCCTTCCTGGATCCACTATACGGTCCCCTTTGTGCTCACCAGCATGAGTTCCTCCAAGAAATAGAGGGTCTCCCAGATTCAATGTTGGGTGTGTCTTTCAGACCCCTCCAATGTAGGCTAGCCCTGAGTTCCACTGCATGGCCCTTCCCACTGGTCAGCAGCTTCCCAGGCTGCACTATGGCAGGGTGCTAGCACTACTCTATTCAGAGACTTCAGCCCCAGGCTTCCACTGCTGCACCCACTCCACAGTCTCCACAGCCAATGCCCTTGGGGCCACCTCTCACAGTCCTAGGCCCTCCCATCTTACTCACAGATGTGCAATCACTTCAGTCTCCTCAGGTCCTCAGTTCTAGTAGATCCAGGGCAGGGGAGGATACTTCCATTTCCCCGGCCTTCAGCACAATTCCTGCCCCCTAGCCCTGGTGGTGAAGCTGAGTAGCTTGCCTATAGGACGGCTCTTGCCTTTAAGTGGCAGTAGGTGAGTACACAGAAGGGGTGAGAGTCCTGTCGGGTCAGTGGTAGTTGCGGTGGATGCACAGGGTCAGTCTGGGCGTGTGCCAGGTGTGCAGAAGTCCTACTAGTGTCCACTACAGGGGAGTGAGGTCTGGGTAGTGACCTTAGTGGGAATACAGGGTCTGGGGTGGGGTGCGCATGGGTTCGGCCCCAGATTCACGGTGAGTCCAGGTAGTGGTGAGTCTTGGCACCTAGCGGCTGCTGCTCCCTACAACCTCTTCCCAAGGAGGATCTTGGAAACTCATCAAGATGGCACAGTCTCCAAGCTGCAGATGCACCCTGGGAGTAGCTTGTGTTGGTAGCAGTGGCTCCTTGTGATGATAGTGCTTAGGGTCATGCTGGTGTCCTCTGCAGGCACATGCAGTCCTATATGTGTCAGCTGCAGGTGTGCAGGGTTGCACTGGTGTCCCCTGCAGGCATGTGGGTTCCTACAGGTGTCAGTGCAGATGCCCAGAGTCTGCCAGTGTTTGCTTAGAGGTGCAGTCCTGAAGGTGTCCGCTGTTGGTGTAGGTTCTGGGTTGTGTCCTTGGGGCCCACACATCCTCGCACACACATAGGGTCAATGTTGGGGTGCACGTGGGTTTGGGCCTGGGCTTTGGCTAATCTGGATGCTGACGAGGCTTGGCTTCTAGCTGCTGTCACTCCATGCAGCCTACACCAAAGGAAGACCTTGTAAATTCTTCAAGATGGCATGGTCTCTGAGGCCCAGGAATGGCTGTGGTAGTAGTAGGGGCTTCTTGGCCAGGAAAGCCCTAACCCCGTCTACCTCCAAGATTCCTGCATAATAAGACTGTCACACACACACACACACACACACACACACACACACACACACATGCACGTCTGCACACTCTGTCACTCACACTCTCACTATTCCATCCTGCCTGCTGCCATGTTGGGGATAAGGTTCTTTAGATACAAATTCCCAAATCTCTCACTCAGATTCTAATTCAGTACATCAACTGGGAATTTTCCTTTTTGTCCAGGTGATTCTGTTGCATGCCTTCCAAGGAACATGCTTTGAGAAAGACTAGCTGAGAAAATGGTGCTCAATAAGTCAAAGTCATAGGTTTAATTCCTTAGTACATCTGTTAGTCCAAACACACACAACACACACACACACACACACACACACACACACACACTCCCCTGAAAACTAATTTTCATAGGTTCCAAATTGTTTCATCCAAGTTCCTAAGAGCTATTATGAAAATACAGATTCTTAGTCACCGAGGGAAACTGGTTACTGGAGTATGTGTATAAAGCAACCTTAACACTAAAATAGCCATGTGTTCATTTACCATTTAAATGGAGAATAACTGAGTATTTATTATGTGTTAAAAAGTAATTTAAAATGATCTTGGATCAATGATATAAGAAGACATCAACTTTATATATTTCTCCAAGCATTAACTCATTTTTTTTCTCCTGTGTTGAGTTATCTCAACTCTTATCTTTAGCCTGGGTTATCTCAACCCTTTTCCTTTAGTTCCACCTAGAGCAGTGGTTCTCAACCTTCCTAATGCCGTGACCCTTTAATATAGTTCCTCATGTTGTGGTGACCCCCAACCATAAAATTGTTTTTGTTGCTACTTCATAACTATAATGTTGCTACTGTTATGAATCATAATGTAAATATCTTATATGCAGGATGTATTTTCATTGTTACAAATTGAACATAATTAAAGCATAGTGATTAATCACAAAAATAATATGTAATTATATATGTGTTTTCTGATGGTCTTAGGCGACCCCTGTGAAAGGGTCATTGACTCCCAAAGGGGTCGCGACCCACAGATTGAGAACCGCTGCTAAGGTTTGATGGTCTGATGGATGCTTCTCTGTCTCTGGATCTGTTTTTGTTCATCAGTTTATGTTGTTCATTATATTCCACAAATGAGTGAGATCATGTGATATTTATGTATCTTTCTCTGACTGGCTTATTTCGCTTAGCATAATGCTCTCCAGCTCCATCCATGCTGTTGCAAATGGTAGGAGTTCCTTCATTTTTATAGCAATGTAGTATTCTATTGTGTAGCTATACCACGGTTTTCTAATTCACTCATCTGCTGATGGGAAGTTAGGCTGTTTCCAAATCTTAGCTATTGTAAACTGTGCTGCTAGGAACATAAGGGTGCACATATCCTTTCTGATTGGTGTTTCTAGTTTCTTGGGATATATTCCTAGAAGTGGGATCATTGGGTCAAATGGGAGTTCCATTTTTAGTTTTTTTGAGGAAACTCCATACTGTTCTCCACAGTGACTGCACCAGTCTGCATTCCCACCAGCAGCACAAGAGGATTCCTTTTTCTCCACATCCTCGCCAGCACTTCTCCTTTGCTGATTTGTTGATGATAGCCATTCTGACAGGTGTGAGATGGTACCTCATTGTCATTTTGATTTGCATCTCTCAGATGATTAGTGACTTTGAGCATATTTTCATATGTCTCTTGGCATTCTGTATGTCCTCTTTCAAAAAAGAAGAAATTCTTACCATTTGCAACAGCATGGATGGAACTGGAGAGCATTATGCTAAGTGAAATAAGCTAGTCAGAGAAAGATAAATATCACATGATTTCATTCACTTATGGAATATACTTAACAACATAAACTGATGAGCAAAAATAGATCAAGAGACAGAGCAGCATCCATCAGATGCTCAAACCTCAGAGGGAAGGTAAGCAAGGGTGGGGGTAAAGGGGAGAGATCAACCAATGGACTTGTATGCATGCATATAAGCCTAACCAAGGGACACAGACAACAGTGGGGTGAGGGCATGAATGGGGGGGATAAGGACACATATGTAGTACCTTAATCAATAAATAAATTTAAAAAATAAAAAATTAAAAGTATCTATTTAGGTTTGTTGCCCATTTTTTTATTGGATTATCTTCATTTTGTTAAGTTTTATGAATTCCCTGTAAATATTGGAGATTAAACCCTTATGGGAGGTAACATTGGCAAATATATTCTCCTATGCAATGGGCTTTCTTGTTTTGTTGATGGTTTCTTTTGCTCTGCACAAGCTTT